CCTTCCCTTCCCTTCCCTTCCCTTCCCTTCCCTTCCCTTCCCGCTGAACACATTAAGCTCTTCCTTCCCCAGAGGTTTCCTCCTTCTCGGGGATGCTGAGCAGTTTCTCCCTGTCCCCCTGTTGCTCCCTGGGAAACCTTGCTCCCTCTGGGGAGGCTCAGAGGATTTGGAAGGGGAAGGGAAGAGCTGAGTCTTGTGTTGGGTGGATTGAAGCTGTGCGGGACCATGATGGTGCTGTGAGAGGGCAGAGCTGTGGTGAGCAGGGTAAGGATGAGTGGGGTCATTGTGCACATCCCATAGAGATCTGTCCCAGTGTGCTGGCACCTSCTCTGCTGTGAGCAGAAACACAGGCCAGGAAAGCTGAGGTGCAGCAGGAAGCGGGGAAGGAGGGTGGGATGTGGCAGAATGCGGCCTGGGCAGGTTCCTGGGCTGTGCTCTGTGTGTGGGTGGCTGGAGGTCAGAGTCACTCTCTCCACACGCCCACATCCCGTTAGTGTCCGAGATGATGGATTCATTCCTTATCCGTGGAGCATTCCTGCCTTGGCAGAGGAGTGAGAGTGCTGCAATGACAGGGTGAGACCAACTCTGACACAGCAATGCACTGAGGAAGAATTATTCGCTATTAATGACGGGCTGCTCTCAGCCAGCCTCTTGCAGGGGAAATAACACCTCCTGTCATTACATCAAGTGCAAGTCCTCCAGCAGCTGCTGAGGAAGYGCTGGGTGAAGCAGGCAGGGATCCAGAGATCCTTTGGTCCAAGTAGGGATGCTCAGGATGCAGTTCAGAGGGGTGAAGTGCCCGTGGGTGTCCCCACGCTGTGTCCCAGAAGGAAGGATGGGATCCCTCAGCTCAGCAGCTCCCCGAGCCCAGCAGCAGGGAAACAGCACGGGAAACACTCGATTTCTCAGCCAGAGCCCCCAGCGCCGGTTTTGTGCCTCCACCCTGATGTGTTTCAAGCTGTTCAAGGATCTCTCTGCAGCTGCTAATATCCGAATTGCAGCAGATGTTTCCCAAAGCGCCCRCACGCGTGGCTGCCCGGCTCCCTCCTGCTGCCAGCAGTCCCCAATTGCCCGCAGGCAGCCGGGCAGGCTGGCAGGGCAATCAAACTTTAAGCAATTTATTTGGCCTCCGTTCACTGTTGGTTATCTGTTAAATCTGCAAAAGGTTAGCCAGAGGGAGAGAGGGGAAGTAATCAGTTTATTTATTTTTTTTCCGAAAGATTTGCAGAGATTTCACTTACATAATCATCTCGCAAACTGTTTAATAAACACGAATACATATCTCCAGGATTAAGGGCTGTGGGAATGGGGGGAAGGATTTTCCTGCTCTCCACTGGTTTGTTTTTTTTTTCCCACTTAGTTTTGTCTTTTATTGATGGYCTGTTATCTTTTAAGTCCATCCTTGAGCATAGGTGAGCAGAGAGCAGGGTGGAAATATGCTCTGCCTCGCTGGACCCATCAGCTCTGGGTGATGCCTGTGGAAGTGCCATGCATGAACTGTGGGCAGCTTCCCACCTTCCCACTGCCCAGCAAAGCAGCTCACCTGAAAGCTGAGGAGGACACAGGGCAGAGAAAATTCAGTTTATTTTCAAGTGCACTTCCTCACTCAGGGCACGCTGGAGGAGGAAACGTCATGGCTYTGCCTTTGGATCCAGCCTTCCTGCCAATTTTCCCAATGACTCAGCTGAGTAGCATTTTGTTGTGGTTGCCCTGGGGTGAATTTGACTCATAAATTCTATTATTTATCCCTGGAGTTAATTATAGGCCCAAATTACCTGTGCTTTTCATGGAACTCAGTCTCTGGCATGTATCAGATGCATTTTTTGGGCCTGTCGCATCAGCTGGGCTGCAGAGAGCAGCAGTAATGCTGGGCTTTAAAGCAGAAAATTCAGATTTGGAGCTGGACTCACCAGGTTTAGGTGATGCATGAATCTGATGTTTGTCAGCACTCACTTTCAGCTAATGAGGATAATTTTATTGCACACTGGTAATTACTGTTTATTMATTCTCAGCCTGAAAGTTACAATAGTTCCTTGTTTCTCTGCGTGGCACAGGTATCAGCCTGGTCTGTCAGGTTTATCACCGGGAGAAGCCAGTTTGTGCTGCACCTCTCCATCCTGGCCTGATAAAATGCTGATTTCATTCTGTCTCCATACAAGATGCATCCCCAGAATCCCATGAAACAAGGGCTGTTGGGTCAGCAGGGCTCACACACGCAGCAGGAAGGAAAGGCTGCTTCTCTGCAAGTGCCTGGCAGTGTGGGACAGAATTGTGGGCTCACAGAGTCACTGAGGTTAGAAAARGTCTCTGAGATGGAGCACAACCTTTGAACAATGTCCCAGCCCAGAGCACTGAGTGCCATGTGCAGTCCTTCTTTGGACACTTCCAGGGGTGGGGGTTCCACCAGTGCTCTGGGCAGCCCCTGCCAAGGCCTGAGCACCTTTTCCATGGGGAAATTCCTCCTGATGTCCCCCCTACCCCTCTCCTGGCCCAGCCTGAGGCCGTTCCCTCTCCTCCTGTCCCTGTTCCCTGGAGCAGAGCCCGACCCCCCCGGCTGTCCCCTCCTGTCAGGGAGTTGTTCAGAGCCACAAGGTCCCCCCGGAGCCTCCTTTGCTCCAGGCTGAGCCCCTTTCCCAGCTCCTTCAGCTGCTCCTGGGGCTCCAGACCCTTCCCCAGCTCCATTCCCTGCCCTGGACACGCTCCAGCCCCTCAATGTCGCTCTTGTCACAAGGGGCCCAGAACTGGACACAGGCCTGGAGGTCCAGGGCCAGGGCCAGGGGCAGAATCCCTTCCCAGGTCCTTCTCCCCACACTGCTTTTCCCAGCAGAGGGGCTGTGGCAGGAGCTCCACCCAACACGGTGGAGATGCAGAACAGTCCCTCCTGCCCTGCCAGCCTTGAGTGTGACAGGGACAGCTCAGCCCGTGGTGTTGCTGTTCTGAGCATGGCAGGGAGAGCTGGCAATGACTCCAGCAAGCCTGGGAGTGCCAGGGATATCGGCTGTGCCTGGGGAAAAACACCCAGCCTCTCACAGAGCAGCTGAGATGCACCTGTGCTTGGCACTGCTTCCATCCCACCCTGACATGGGGAAAGGATGGAACGGGTTGGGTTGGAGGGAACCTCAAAGCTCATCCCATCTCACCCCTGACATGGGCAGGGACACCTCCCACTGTCCCAGGCTGCTCCAAGCCCCAATGTCCAACCTGGCCTTGGGCACTGCCAGGGATCCAGGGGCAGCCACAGCTTCTCTGGGCACCCTGTGCCAGGGCCTCCCCACCCTCCCAGGGAACAATTCCTTCCCAATATCCCATCTATCCCTGCCCTCTGGCAGTGGGAAGCCATTCCCTATGTCCTGTCCCTCCATCTCTTGTCCCCAGTCCCTCTCCAGCTCTCCCAGAGCCCCTTTAGGCCCTGGAACAGGCTCTGAGCTCTCCCTGGAACCTTCTCCTCTCCAGGTGAGCACCCTCAGCTCTCCCAGCCTGGCTCCAGAGCAGAGGGGCTCCAGCCCTTGGAGCATCTCTATGCCCCCCTCTGGACTCTCTCCTGCAGTTCCAGGTCCTGCTGCTGTTGTTCCCCTGGGCTGGGGCAGCTCTGCAGGTGGGGTCTCACCTGAGGGGCAGAGGGGCAGAATCCCCCCCTCCCCTGCTGCCCACTCTGGCAATTCAGCCCAGCACAGGGTGGGTTCTGGGTGCTCATGGCTGGGACGTGTCCAGCTTCTCACCCACCAACACCCCAAGTCCTTTTCCAGGGCTGTCAGGGAGCAAATCCTTCTCCCTGGACTTCTCTGCCCAGGCTGGATTTGTGCTTGGCATTGCCCTGATCCAGATGCAGCAGCAGCACTTGGCCTTGTTACACTTTATGAATTTTTCACGGCCCCACCTCTCCAGCTTGTCCAGGTCCCTGTGGATGCCCCATCCCTCCCTCCCCTCCAGGCTGTGACCTCCCCACAGAGCTGGGGTCAGCCCCAGGCTGGCTGAGGGTGCCCTGATTCTGCTGAGCTGTGTGTAAGAAAATCTGCCTTTGTGACGCTTTTGGAGTGCTCTGGGTTCACGGCTCCCACTCACCTGCAGGTTTGTTTTTTTTAGTCAAACCAGTAATTTCTGATGTCAGAGCCTCCACTTTCTCTCCCAGCTGTGGTGCAGAGCTGAGGCTTCCAGACGCTGTGTAACCTTTGATGTAGGATTCACCCTTTGTTCTCCCAGGAACAAAAGGGCAGGACAAAAAGGCATTATGAGATAAAACAACAACATTCTGTGCAGGGAGATTGACCCCCTGCTGCTTAATCTGGAGCAAAGTCATCCTGGAGCTGGCTGCTCCTGGCAGAGACCCCATTCCACCCTGGGGCTGGTGAAGGCTGTGCAGGGCCAAGCTTTGTTGCAGGCATCCTCCAGACCTCAAATGTTTGCATCCTAATGAAAAAAAGCTGCAGAAGGGCCGGTTAAAATGAACTTTCCACCTCATACAATGCCACAGTTGTTGTTTTTTAATAAAGCTGGGCATTTCAGTCCTGCAGGCACCTAACAATTCACAATGCTTTAGCAAGGGTCAGATTTTAAATATTAAAGACATCTTCTGAAGCCTCTCGGTGTCTGAAAGCACAAAGGAGACCTTCTGGCATTCCTTCAGTGCACTCGTTCATTAATCAGCAATGTTTGGGCATCRTCTGCCCGCGTCAAACTCCTCCAAACACTGCACTGAGCACAAAATTAATTCCCGGGAGATTGGCACCAGAAAGTGTGTTACTTTCTGCTGGGATAAGCGTGTGCCTCACGTTAGTCATGTGTTTGTGTCCCTGGTGGAACTGGGGCTGGCAGGATTGACCCACAAAGCAGGAGCTGGGATGGTGGCCTTTGGTCACATTGTCCCTGGGCTGGATCCAGTCTCACAGCTCATTCAGGCTCCTGAGCAAACAATGATAAACCTCATTTGTGGATTAATTTCAGGACACAAAATAAACAACAACAAGAAGGAATGCTGAGCCCAAACATGTCCTTGTTTATGACAGTTTGTCAGTGTGGGTCAGTGGCAGGGTTTGCAGGGTCACAGAGCACCAGTTGCATTTGCATTGACTAAGAGCATTTCAGCCATTGTTTGGGGATAATAACCTGCTCTGTGCCCTGGTGGATTATTATCTGAGGAAAATGGAACAATGGATGACCACAGAAATACCCAGCCCAAGACAAAAGCCAGGTGCTGGTGGCTTGGTAGCCACCGGGAATAAAACATGAGATCCCAGCGTGTTGGACCTGCCCCTGCACGGGGTCAGGGAGGGGTAAGGCCATGGCTGTGKGAGCTGCCAGTGAAACTGGTGTGAATCAGCTGCAGAAACACAGAGGCTTTACTGGGAAACCAGAAAAATCCTGCTGAGATCTACCCAAGGCTCAGCTCAGAGATCCACACAACAGCAAACCAGGGGCTGAGTTGTCCTTCTGATTTCCCAGTGCTTGTGGAWTCATTTAGGCTGAGAAAGCCCTCTGAGAGCCTCAAKTCCCAYCCTTAACACAGCACTGCCAAGGMCACCACTAAACCATGTCAGGTGTTACATCCACACATCTTTTGAACACTTCTGGTGATTCCACCACTTCCTTGACACACTTTCAGTGGAGAAACTTTTCGTAATATTTTTCATATATTTTGGTGCCTTACATTATGGAAATGCCTCCCCTCATACACAGTAAGGACAGATCACACAGGGCTGGCCCCACTCAATTGTCCCTTGGTGGGCTACCAAATGCCTGCACTGTCTGGGGGTAGATCCAATAAAAAATTCCAGTGCTTGGACAATGGCTTTGCTCGTCCTCATGTCCCTTCCACTGTTCCATCATCAAAATGGTGGGGATGCCACAGCATCTTCTGGGTGTCCTGATGGCATCTTGGATTTTCCTGGGAAGTTTGAGCCTAAGAGKTGAAAGCCAAAAGAGCTTTGTGGGAGGTGGGGTTTCTGAACAAAGTCGTGGTCTTCTTTTAAGGTCGTGGGTTTGGTTGATAAAGACAATAGTGGGGATTCAAATGTTGGGATTCACCAWGGCATGTCACTGAGCATTGTGTGACACTCAGGTTTTAAATTAGCATTAAATGAATGAATAAGGCATAAATTTGATGGCAATATTAGATAAGGCATGCRCTGGCCTTTGAAGTTTGTTAATGAGCTGGTTGTGACTGGGAAGATGTAAATTACTGAGAGCACTTCCAGCAGGAACCTGAGGAGCTGATGATTCATTCATCATTTAATATTGTTGACTCTAATCTAGCCAATAACACCCAACATCTGTCCCGGTGAGGAACGCAGGTGACGCAGCGTCTGCGAGTGTGTCACTGCAGTCTCCAGGCCCAGGGAACTTTGCTGTGGCTGGGTTCCTCCAGGTTCACCTCTTGAGCCTGTCTGACTGTCAGGCCTGAGAGGGAGCCACTCATAGCCTGGCTTTTCCTGGGGCTATGGCATCAGGAAGGCACCTTCCCGTGGGGATTCCCTGCTGCCTTCAAAGAGGACATCTAATGGTGTTACTGTGGCCACTGAAACAACAGTTTCAGGGTCTGTCCCACTGCCTGGCTGCTTATTAGTTGGCATGCGTGAGGAATTAGTCATCCCTGAGGATCTCTCTGCCAAAAGGTCAGATCCAGCAGGTGGGGATGGGTTATGGAGGGAGCRGACCCCCCTTGCAGAGGGACAATTTGAGAGCTAAGATCCAGCATGACAGGGGTGGATCAGGAGGCTGCTGAACATGAACGTGAACAAACATGATTAAAATGCCTTCCCTTGCCATGCCTCCTCATCCCAAAGGATGTRAGGTCCTCACAGCAGCTCAAAGAAGGGTTACAGAAATGAGGAGGAGCTTGTGAATGTGGACAATGGTGATTCTTAATGCGGTTAAAAAATTCATAATGTCACACTTTGCAAAAAAAGCTCATGAAGCAACTCACCTGTGATGTACAGGGAGTTCCAGCTCACCAAAGGCTCAGCACATGGTGGTCAAACTCAAYATGGAACAAAGCATTACTAAAGGTTTTTGGAGATCATTTTCCAGGGGATTTTGTGGTTGAGATTGCACGCAGGTCTCTGTTGAGGTGTCAYGCTTCAAGGGTTCGTGGAGAACATCACCATGGATGGATTGCGAGAGTGGGCTGCTGCTTCTGCAGGTGCATCTCCCCTCTTGACTCCAGCAAGAGCTACAGGATCTGTTTTATGTTCAGGAGAGGAGGACAAACAGAATAACCCGTATTTAACCCTTCTAGAAGGAGTCAAAAATAGGTTGACGATTTTTGGGTTGTTTGCATAGTTACAGCTCCTTCTGGCAGGGTTTAATTTGTGTGGTGAGTTTGCAAAAGTTTTCAGCCTTCTAGTTGGGGGTGGAAATATTCCAGCTGATTCCCAGGAGGGTCCATGAGATGGGGTGCAAGGCAGGGTGCAAGGCAGTGTTCATCTGATCTTCCTCAGGGATGAAAGTCCTCAGAATCATAGGAGTCTGTCCATAGCATCATAGGATCATAAAGATTGGAGAAGACCTTTAAAGATAATTCCCTTCCTGAACACATTCCAGAGCAGGTAAGGAGCACACTGAGGCTCCAGCCCATCGCAGGAAAGCYGTACTGCCAGGAGATTGATTATAGACCTGAAGCCTTGCACAAGCTCACAAAACCAGGGTGTTCCCCTTGTGCATGAGGAAGCTCCGTGTGCTCCCCACAGCTGGAGGGCAGCAGCTCTGTCTGCTCTCTGCAGCCTGGGTACCAAGGCACTGCCATCAGAGGCAYCATTCCATAGGATCAAGAGGGGGGAGTCCTGAGCAGCAGCTGACTGCACCATGGGTTTGTTTGCAGGAGAGAGTTCTCTGAGCTGCTGGAGAAGTTTGGTTCCCAGAGCAACACRGGCTCGGCACGGAGCTCGCCCATCCTGCACGGCAGCAGTGAGTAGCTCAGCAGTCTTTGGGGGGAACTGAAAGCCCCTCTCTCTGCAGAGGGAGTTTCCTTTATCCCAGTGTCATTCTGGAGGAGCTGTGGTTGGATTTGGGCTGGTTTTGGGGTGGAGGTTTGATGGAAGCTTGTCCTTATTGCAGGCATTTGGTGTATGCTCAGAGCATGGGCAGGGCTGCCACGGGCTGATCAAGGGAGACTTGAGTTGGGGTCRTAAGCACTCCCCAGATCCCCAGACTCTGCCTAACTGATGTGCTGGACAGGTGACCCCATCAGTATGTGCAGCTGTGGCTTTTTGCACTGGATTTCAAGGCTTTTTAGCAATAATTCATGCAAAGATCATTATTTTTCATTTGCAAATGGGAGATGTTYAATGAGGTGCACCTAAGCCAGGTGCCAGGACACAAAGCCATGTGTGCCCAGGGAAGGAAGCCATCCCTCTGGCTTTGCATCCCACCAGAGAGCTGCCAGCCTATCCCCGATGGCAGAGTTATATAGGGTTGGCAGAGGGGTGACAGTCCTGTGCTGGAATTGTGCCAAGGAGGCGGAATGRTTCCTCTCCCTCAGCCCTGTCCTGATGTCTTTAACCACCATGAGRCTTTCTCAAAWATCTGGGAGTACAGYGGCAGAGTGGGGTGGGAGGGTGACRCTGKKGTGTTTRTGTGCCCTGGGCTGACTCTGACTYTGCTGCTCAGGTCGATACCTGGAGAGCACCTCCTCGGGCTCMTCSTCMCGCTCGCAGAGCCCGCTGCTGCTGAGCCCTGCAAACTCACACGGCCCCTTCATCGGGAACCCGGCACACGCCCCTCACGCACAGTACGTACAGATTCCCCCAGCCTGGCCTGGGGTCATCAGAACACCACCCAATGTCTGAGGGATCCACCCTGGCAGTCATTCCAGTGCTTGGAGAACAGCTTTGTGCGTCCTTAAGTCCTCTGTCCTGTTCTGTCACCACAATTCAGACCGCCACCGAATATTTGGGGTGCTGTAGTGGCATCTTGGCTGCTCCTGGGGAGCTTGTTCCCAAGGGGTGAAAAGCTTCCCAGYTGAGGCACTCAGCATGTCTGCACCGTGGTTACCCACACAGCAGCTCCTCTTCCTCCCCTCCAAACCCAGGGAGAGGCCGTGGTTTACAGCCAGCTGAGAGGACTCTGCCCATCACCTTTAGCAAGCATGAGCAGAGTGTTTCTGCAAGGCCAGTGCAGCTTTCAGGAGGTGTTTTGGGAGCTTGTTTCCCATTGTCCTGCTCCTGGCACATTAACCCCATGCTCTAAGAGCACCTCTCCATGCAAACATTCCCCATGCCCTTTCCTTTGGGGTCAACAGCCTGCAGGCACCACATCTTTGGTGTGCAGAGCATCTCCTGGGGTGAGTTTTCATGTGGTCATCYGTCCCTCTCACATTCTGCAGGGTCAGAGGTTCGGACAGGCAGAGCTGGTTTTTCTGCAGTGTTGTCTCTGGGGCCCCTGTCCAGAGGGACAGCTCGGAGGGTGTTCACAGTCATGGAACAGGGACCATCTGTCCCCAGGGCTTCCCTCCTCTGYCAGCACAAACAAGCCAAGACGCTGGTAAAGAGAATCAGCCCTCACTGCAGAACCAGTAAATCCTCTTGCTAAAACCAGCTTATTACGGATTTGCAGAGGACAAATATTTGGCACCAGAGGTTTAAGCTGCTTGCATGGAGTGAGAGACCCACGCAGAGGAGAGACCAGATCATCTATTTGGCAGCTGCTTTGGACAAGCCATCCTTGCTGGGCTGTTAACCTGCTCCAGGCTGAGATGTAGAATCCAGAATGGGTTGGTTTGGATGGGACCTTAGAGATCATCTCATTCCAACCTCCCTGCCATGGAAAATGGGAATTTAGGCTAGAGGGGCCTGTCCTGGTGGCCTCCTTGCCATGCTGTGCCAAGTTCTGCTTGTCTCCACACCAGTGCCAAGCCCCAGTGGTCTTCCCCTGGAGTCACAGGCCAYAGAGTGTTGGTGGTCAGCTGAGAGATGTAATTTGGACCACGGGTCTTTCCATGTGGCTGCCACCCCTTCTGCTCACCACAGATTGTCCTCAGGCTTTGCCCTCTCATCCTGGTGTCACCCAAGGTCCTGCTACTCCACTGAGCAATCCCCCCCCCCACTGGGGGCTGGATAAGATGCAATCTCATCAGTCAATGTCTGAGATTTTGGGTTGAACAGAGCATTTTAATGCTGTATTTCATGGYATCATTTCCCTAAAATCATTCACTTTAAAGCAATATTTTTTTATAAGACTAAGGCACATGCACCCTTTCTACTTCCCACCAGGGAACATGGGGAGTCACATCCCTGCAGGGCACGGGATGCACAGCTGCTGTTGTGTCTTAAGTTATAACTTATAACAGAGGAGCCAGTGCAGCTGCTTTGGGCAGTGGCTGCTGTGGAAATAAACTGAAAAGGTGAAAAGCCAGCTGCACCCATCCCATTTGGAGGAAACAGCTCGCTGACCCTTAGACCCCAACAAATCTTTCCCCAAACCCCTCCTGTTGCAGTGCTGCCCACCAGAGCTTGGAAATCTGTGCTCCCACAACTCTGCCACTGCCAAACCTCCCTTCTGGCACAGAGCCACTGCTGTGGCAGRGCCTTGGTGGCCTGCAGCTCCTGGAGGAAAAGGCCCAGCCTGTTTGCTGCTCCTTTTCATCCTCMACTGGGTGAGCCACCTGCCACAGCAGTAACTCCCAGTGTGGTGAGTGCTGCTGTAAAGGATGCCCATTTTTTAGGGCATCTTGCAAGATTTTGGGTCCAAACCCTGRTTAAGACACACCCAGCTGTGTATCCTGAGCTTCACTTTGATGTTTGCTAAGAGCTGCTTGATMGTTGATTCATCTGTAAATTGCTGTCTGTGATTTAGCTGGATTCAAGCAACAACTGTGTCGATCCTTTGTGTGCTTTTGGCTATAAAAACCAGGAATGCCAAATATATCCTGGTTAAATGCTTAGTTCCWTAGTAGTAAATGAGTACTCCCCTAACTGGGATTAAGGGAACCAGTCACTTTCATGACACTGAGCAAACTGTGCCAAAGAACAGGAGCCCTCCCATCCCCTTTCCAAGGTGGGAGGAACAAAGTATGCAAAGAAAAGGTTGTGAGAAGGCAGAAGGATCATGCATGGAAAGAAATCRTGGCAGAGTTTGTTCAGGGACATGGGAAGATAACCCAGATCCCCTTGAGTCACCTGCTGACTTCTCTCCCTTGCAGCTACTCCATTGACTCAGGAATCCAGAGCATTTCTATAGCAAGCTGCTCYGGCTTGGGGCTGACCATCAGTGGTGGGACCAACAGGCCTGAYGGGCCCATGATTTATGTCCAAGAGCTTTTGCCAGATGGGGACTGCTACAAGGTAAGTGAGAGTGGAGACCCTGGGGGCTCTGCCATGAAGACCTCTCCAGGGGGTGTAGCTGCTCTGAAGCAGCTTTTCTAAGAAGAGGTGGATAATTGCATGGACTMATGAGGATTTGTGTTGCAGGAGAAGGCTTTGGGCAGAGATATCCCTTCCYAATGCTGTGTCTGTCTCTCTGTTTGTTTAGGATGGTCGGCTCCGACCTGGAGACCAACTCATTGCTATCAACAGAGATTCTCTGGTGGGCAGCACACATGAAGAGGCCAGAAAAATAATTGAAAAAGCCAAATTCAGGTAGGCACAGAACCTATYTCCTGTCATCATCAGGGGCTGTTGAGTCTTAGCAGAACCCTTCATGTCATACCAAGGTTTGGCTTCAAAGCATTATTAATCTCAAAATGATGCTTTAGGATGGTCCTGACAGGTGGTCACATATGGAAATTCTGAACGTGTGGATCATCCTGGGATCTAACCCAGTCCTTCCCAATGTTTYGAACCTCATGACTGTCTCCTGTCACTGCCCAGCTGAGCTCTGCAACAGAAGTGAAGTGAAAAGCAGCAGAAAAAAGGAGATTTGGGAGAGACTTTATGGATCTGTACAGGAGGGTGGAGCCAGGAGGGGGTTGGGCTTTTCTCCCAAGTAACAAGGGAGAGGACAAGAGGAAACAGCCCTCAGTTGTGCCAAAGGATATTTAGATTGCATATCAGGAAAGATCTCTTCATGGAAAGGGTTGTAAAGCYCTTGGCACAGGCTSCCCAGGGCAGTGGTGGAATCACCGTTCCTAGAAGTGTTCAAAAACCATGGAGATATTTGGGACATGGTTTAGTGGTAGCCTTGGCAGTGTTGGATTAATGACTGGACTCGATGATTTTAGGGATCTTTCCCAACTTTAAGCATTCCATGATTCCATGATTCCATGATTCAATTGAACACAGCTGGTGGAGATCCAGCTGCACTGCCGCAGGCTACCCAGGCTTAGGTGAGCTTATCCTGGAGACAGAACCACAAGCATGGACGCTGGGCAAATCTGTGCCTTTTGTTTTGTTAGTAAGTGTTGTGTGTTTGCTGTTTGTTGAAGACACGAGGGAAGCACAGAAGTGGCCTTTATTCCTGGGAGGGGACGCTTACATCCCGGCCTGTCCGTTCACAACAACATCCCATCCCCWCCCCTGAAGGCTGTGGGAAATGGCCTGAGCTCCTGCAGGCTGAAGGTCCACGTCAGGTCCCCAGAGGTAGGTGGGAGTTCATCTCTAACAGACATCAATCCTGGGATCTTTCTTAGATCAGAGAACTCTTSTGTAAGGATTCCCTGGGAATACTTCTGGAAGTCCAATGGAAAGTCTGTATTGTTGATGTAYTTACCTACAGGCAGATGTTTTAAATCTGAAATCATTTCTTCTCTCTGAGAAGAGATGGATCTGTGGAGGTAATGACAGGAGTTTCATCTCCAGGGCCTGCATTCAGACCTGTTTCAGGAGTCTCAGGTTTCYAAAATAACAAAGCCMTTCTGTGGATAGCACTCTGCATCTCATTCAGCACCAGTCATAGGGCTGGAAGGGATCTCTAGAGTCAGTCTGATCTCGGCTCCTACCCAAAGGCAGCAGCAACTCTTTATTCTTGGAGCCCTGTGATGAGGATGAATCCCCAGCATTCTGCACAGCCCGGTCCTGCTCCTGACTCCTCTAATGATAAGCCAGGCTCATTCCTCCTGCAAAGCCAAGCTCCACACTGTGCTTGCAGAGAAGTGCTTGAGCTGTGAATGGCTGGATAGGGTTTATCCCCCCAACCCTCAGGGGTCTGCAGCTGCATTCTGTGCCTTTGTCTCTCCCCTCCTGGGCTAGTGCTGTGCTGACTGTCCCTTCTGCTCTCTTCCACATGAATTTCCTTCAAAAGGGRCCGGCTGGATGTTCCTTTCATACAAGACCATTCACAAAACATTTTTTCTAGCCAACTGSGGACATGGACTTGCATGAATGTCACACAGGTGTTGCCTTAGGGTGCCCCAGGCTAGAGATGTGCCATGGAAAGGTAGCAGAGCCCCTGGAGTGCTGTGGCTGAGTGCTGTGGTTAAACCCCTCACCCCCAGGTTGAATGTGCTGTGCACTTGTATGAAACCACACAATTGGCTAGACTGAAGTGTCTCCTTTCCTCACTGTTGCTGAAGGATGGAACTTCTAATGGTGTCAGGGCTCCCATGCCAGGCAGAGTGCCCAGGCAGCCGTGCTGCCTGTCTGTACATCCTCTCACCAGCCCTGTGCCCCTCTTGGCACCCAAGTCCCCAGCTGTGCCAGATCTGTTTCGGTGGCGCTCCCCATACTTCCCCTCTGATTGTTTTTCCCTCTCCCTTGTGCTTTCAGYCATGACAGAGCACTTGAGAAAGGATGTGAACTGATCTCGGCTTCCTGCCATGCTCACTGGGATAATGATGGGTTTGGGGTGAATGTTATACCTGCCTGTGGTCAGACTCGRTACCTCCCTGCTGGGTCGGATGCAGAGCTTCAGGGAGAACCTCTGTGGGGACACCAGGCAAGGTCAAACCCAGCCTCAGCTCTCAAGCACAGTTAAGGACAGAGTCACCTCTTTGTGACCAGAGATTTTGAGGTGGCTCAGCCTGTGCCTGGTGCTTCCAGAGAAACCCCTGGAATCTCTTYAGATCCATCTGCATAAGAGGTGTATGTGGTGCCCTCACAGCTCTCTCGTGAACTCCTCTGTCTTCTGCTTGTTATTTACACCAAYAGATTCTTAGCTACTCTCTGTGCCATCTTGTCTCGTTTTTCTAGAATAGACGTGAAAATCCTTTTCCTGTGCCTTCTTTGTCACCAGACATTTGCCCGCCAGAGCTCACGGTCTCAGGTGAGTCCTGCTCAGCCCTTCTTGTGTGGGTGACAAACAGCTGTGGCTCCTTGGAGCTGAGAATGGTGAAATTATGGAATCACAGAATCACAGAATCAAAGAATCACAGAATGGTTTGGGTTGGAAGGGACCTTAAAGCCCATCCCATTCCACCCCTGCCATGGCAGGGACACCTTCCACTGTCCCAGGCTGCTCCAAGCCCTGTCCAGCCTGGCCGTGGACACTGCCAGGGATCCAGGGGCAGCCACAGCTTCTCTGGGCACCCTGTGCCAGGGCYTCCCCACCCTCCCAGGGAAGGATTCCCACCCAATATCCCATCTAACCTTGCCCTCTGGCAGTGTAAAACCATTCCCCTTGTCCTATCACCACATTTTTTTTTATCAGTGTTTATACTGCTGTAGTGGAATTTWATGGGGTGATAATGACACTCAGCCTGTTCAGAGAGAGGGCAGGCAGCAGCTCAGTTTACTCAAGGAGCAGTAATTATGTCCATGTTTGCCCATAGTAGCAAAATCCTTTACTAAGGCATTCAAAGACTGAGGTATTCACAGGAGATGAATTCCTCCCCGCTCAGTCTGTGAGTGATTTGCAGAAGTGGCTTTGCTGCCTCAGACTTGCAGCAGGCTCTCCACAGGCCACATTCCCTTCTGGTGGGACAARCAGCACAAAAGCAGTCAGGTAATGATAGTTGGGATGAACACAACAATCCTGGGCTCTGAACAGGCTTTAAGAAATGCCCTCAGTTGGCCAGATTGGGAAATGGCTGAGAGATGTGATTAAATCAGATATCTGTCTAAATCCAAGCTTCAGTTTTTGCCTTTTTTCCATGCTGTGKTTCCTCTCCATGGTCTGTGTCTCCTGAGCTCTGACCTTTTGTGGAGAGACCCACTGTTCATCCAATGGTATGGCAGCAATGGGGGTGAGCCTGAATCACCCTGCAGCTTCCTAAGTCCCTTAATAATATTGAGGAAACCTCAATAACCTCCAAGACCTAGACCCCAGGGAAACAACCTCCACCACGTTCCGTCATGTCCCTGAGATGTGAAGGTTACTCCTGCCCTGAGGGAAAGATGGGCTTTCCCAACAAATCCCAAGCAAGCACTGCCCACCACTGCTGCAGTCCCAAATCCAACAGCCCTCCCTTCCCTGAGACATTGGCCCTGCTTCCAAATCCCTGTGCATTGCCRTAATTCCCCTCTGGAAGGCCAAGAGCAAGCACTGGTGGCAAATTGTGTTCAGTCCATATCTGGGATCAGCAGGAGATGGARCATCTTCTCCCAGCGATGCTCAGCAGCTTCAGCTCTGCCTTTCACCTCCACTGCAGAGCCCTGGGACAGGGACATGCTCTGTCCTCCCTGCCCTGAGCACCCTGCAGATGCCAAGGTGGCTCTCGGGTTGCCACCACGGATAGCCAGTCCTGGTGATGGGGACAGAGCAATCCAGCAACAGCAGTGACCCAACTACAGCCTGACTTGGCTGGGGGATTTTATCACTCCAGGATTTTAATGTGGAATGCYGAGGAGGCTTTGTGTCAGTGTTGTYATCCATGGAAACAGAAGGGACAGCCASGCTGGGAGCCTGGGCCAGTCAGTGCCTCTCTCTGGGTGCCTGATGGATGCCCTGGATATCTCTGTGTCCAGARCTGACAGCAAAGCCACACGGAGCTAATCCTGATTAGCCACAGCTCCAAGGGTAACAGCTCTGCCCTTGAACTCGGAGAGGGAAGTGCTGGTGGCCGATCCAGCAAACCCATTTGTTCCCACTTGCTGCTTCCCAGCTGCTGGCCTCGGCAGAGCAGATGGATACCTGGATTAGGAGGATTATGCAGCACCTCTGCTGCTCCTTGCTGCCTTCTCCTGGCACCTGGGCTCTGTCCCAATGCTCAGAGGGTGCGGGGAGAAGTGCTCCRTGGATTCTGAGGGAGCTGTGTTACTCAACAAACAGAGCTTTCCATGATGTTAAAGGCAAAAGGAATTGTTTCCTGACCAAATCCTATGCACCAGAAGGAATTTTATCACCTGGGCTGATGGCTTGAGGGTGGGCAGGGCAGGCACAGCAACCCTGCTCCCTTCTGGAGACTGGYTGGGTTGGTCCTGAGCAGGTATCACCTTCTGCAGCCCTTTTCTCAGGGAATATCATGGTTCCTTCCTGGCAAGGGTTAATCATAATGGAAAAGGTGAGGTTCCCTCCAGGGATGGAGGGGCAGGGCTTGTGCTCTGGCCCTTTCCAGCTGTGCTGGCAGTGCTGAGCCAGCTGTTGGGAGCTGGATCCTCCAGCTCATGGCAGCTTTTCACCAGCACAGCAGCTGCTGCCTCTGCCCCTTTCTGCCTCTGTGGCTGCCTCACAATGCATGTGGCTCCTTCTACCCAAAACAACCTCCCTGACCAGCTGAGGGAAAAAGGGTTCAAGGCTTTTTGCAGTCTTGGAAAAGGAAAAATCTCAGAGTGGTGCTTTTCCACATCACTTTTAATTTGTCCCCATGTGTGCCATGATCTGTTTCAGTTTTGCTTAATCAGAGTAGACAAGAACCAGGCAGATTTTAATTTTTTTTTCTCACAGTTCACCATAACTCCAAAACTCTGTGAATGGAAATTTCCAAAGTGCTATTTTTGTAGTCCTTTGTCCCTGGATGAAACATCCCATTTTAAATCGTGCAGAAGCCCAGTTTCAGGAGGATTTGCCCCAGCATACAAACTTCCCAAGAGTGTCCTAGTTCAGCCTTCCAGAGTTGGTTTTAGTAAATCCTGGACTTTGATTTTCACCCTGCTGCACACACTTTATATTTCATGCAACAACAGGTATTAATTTTGCTTTGCAGACATCTCTTTCCTCTACCCAAATGTYCCTCTATTTACATTTATTTTTTATTTTTCAGCACCTGCTTCAGCTTCTAACTACAAAGCAGCWTCAGGCACCAAACCCAAAGTAGCACTGGATCCCCATATCCGGCTCAAGGATGGAAAACTGGAACTGGTAAGTGGCAGGGTCCTTCTCCCTAAAGCAGGGTCTCCTTCTCCTCCCTATGCAGGAAATAATCCATTCTTCAGTCGAATTTGCTGGAGGTTGAGCCCAGCCTCTGAAGGTAAAGAAAGAGGGTGAAACATCCTGGCTGTGTCCAAAGGGATGTTTAAATACATCTTAGCATATCTTCATTATTTCTCAGTGCTCCATGAAGCTCCAGAAGTCTCCTGGCAGCTGCACCTCCCCTGGACATCATGCCATTGACTCAGGCTGGGCTCCCCAAACTTTTTAGTGGTGCTGTTACTGCTGGGGTGACCTCAGGCAGCCTGGTGTGGGCGAGGGAAGGCTGAGATAGGAGATACCTCGCTGAGGAGCCATCCAGAACCGCTGGATTCTCCTATCGTTTTGTGGAAAACACTTCCATGGGCATGGAGCAGAGCTGCCCATTTGTTCACCGAGACCCTGATGAGGAGCAGAGTGGCCTGGGGGGCCATGTAGCAGTCTGGCACCTTGGGTTCTGCTGGCTTGTGAGGGGACAGAGCCCTTGGAGCGGGGCCGGGGTGGCCGCGGAGGCCCCGATGTGMCGAACTTGTGCTGCCACCCGACGGCAGCGCCGGCAGGAGCGGCTCTCCTGAGCCTGAGTCATTCTCCTAAAGCGGGATCCGGGATGGCACCGGCACAGCGATCTTCTCCTCACGGAGACAAAGCAGCTCCTCCCGGCTGGCAGGAGGGGACTCTTGGCTTCCCCTCTTTCAAAGCCTGTGTTAGGTGCGGCGGTGACGGGGTGCGGGGTGACACCGAGCCTCACCGAGATGTTTTTGGGGTGGCCAAGCCCGCCAACATCCCAAAGTCTGGGAGCCTGCAGCACTGCCTGGCACACGGGCGGTGGGCAGAGGAGCAGGAGGTGGGACTTGAATGGGACAGCAGGTGGATCCTGGGGACTCGCTGGTGATGGAAACGAGAGCGAGGATTCCCTGTCCGGGGAATTTGAGGGAGGTGCTGTGGGCAGGAGCTCYGTGTGCAGCCCGGCACAGGTGAACGCTCCAYTCGTGCTCTTTCCCAGAGTCTGCTGAGCTCGGCTTTGTCTTTTAAAAGCTTTCAGTGGCTGCTGCCAGAGGGGAAGTGGGGCTTGCACAGGTTTATCTGTTTCTGTGTGGTGCCCTGGGGTTGAACTGATAAATATCAGCAGAAGTCAGGGCATCAGGAGTAATGAAAGAGCAAAACTTGCAGTGGAGAAGCAACATGTTTGAATGTCGCCTCTCACCATGGGAAATATTCTGTTAATGGCTTTATCTTCCTGGTCCCAAGCACAATTCCTGGACAGCAAGAGAAAGAGGAAAGGCTGAGCTCTTCTCACCTGAGTGTTGCTAAAACCCCACTGACTTTTGACAAAAGTCCTGAAAGCTCATCAGAGCTGCAAATCTAATTGCAGACAAAATGTTCTTGGAGGGATGTGAACATATCCCTGCCTTCAGGAGCAGACATTTCTTTTCATGTGTAGGAAAGGGGAGACTGGAAATGCAATCCAAGCCTGCTCCTTTGGGAGATGCTGCCTGGAGAAACCCAGCACCAAATGTCATCCCCGCACTCATCCCAAAGAGTTGCTTTTCCAGTATTTTCCTTGTTAAAGACTCCTTGTTTCTGCTCCAGGTTCTGCAGTATCTTGGTCTGGATGTGACGGAGGAGAAGAAGAGGCAGCTCCGGCAGAGCCTGACCACRGACTCGCAGGGGACGGTGGCCTATGGAGGTGAGAGGGGCTCTGCCCATGGGGGCTCTGTCATTTCTGTGCAGCTTCATTGGCAGCTAAAAGAGGAAAGAAGTGGTGAGACACCTGCCTAGGTAGTGATGGAGCCTCAAAAGAGATCAGGAAAATTGCAAACACAAAAGAAGGCATTCTGTAGAATCCTGGAATYCTGGAATGGCTTGGAATGGGAGGGACCTCAAAGCCCATCTCATTCCATCAGACAGCTTCCACTGTCCCAGGCTGCTCCAAGCCCTGTCCAGCCTGGCCTTGGACACTTCCAGGGATCCAGGGGCAGCCACRGCTTTCTGTGAAAACCTGTGCCAAGGCCTCACTGCCCTCACAGGGAAGAATTTCTTCCCAATATCCAATCTAAAYMTRTTCTCTGTCAGTTTAAGGCCATTCCCATTGTCCCATCATAGGGAAAATCAAACTAAAAGAAGGTTGGTGCAAAGGCTCACTTTTTTCAATATACTGGTGTTCCTAGCAGGAACTGGCCAGAGGAGACACAGAAAATAAAAGCCAGTCCTGCTTTCTGTGGCCTTCCAGAGCATGTCTGGCCCGCAGGGTTTGTTCCCCAGAAGGTTTTTAACAAAAATCCAAAGCCACCAGCAATGTCCCCACCAGACAGAACAGACACAAGGGATCGGGGATCCCTATTTTGTGCAGAATGAGGGGTGGGACACATGGCCCTCTCCTGTGAGTGACAGGTGTTGTAGTTTGTGGCAACAGAAATAAGGATGTTTGGGGGTATTTAGMAAATATGCTGGCAGTGAAGAGGCTGAGCACCTGCCAAGGGACCTGGACAGGCTTTGAGGTGGAACTGGGTGAAACTCATACAGCACAACAAGGCCAGGGTTCTGCACCTGGGTCAGGGCAATCTCAAGCACAAATCCAGGCTGGGCAGAGAAGGGATGGAGAGAAGCCATAGGAGAAGGACTTGGGGTGTTGGTGGGTGAGAGGCTGGATTTGTCCCAGCCATGAGTACCCAGAACCCCCCCTGTGCTGGGCTGAGCCCCCAGCATGGGCAGCAGGGGAGGGGAGGATTCTACCCCTCTGCCCCTCAGGTGAGACCCCACCTGCAGAGCTGTTTCCAGCCTGGGGAGACCTTAAAAGCCCTCCCAATGCCTAAAGGAGCTCCAAGAGAGCTGGAGAGGGACTTGGGACAAGGGATGCAAGGACAGGACACAGGGAATGGCTTCCCACTGCCAGGGAGCAGGGATGGATGGGATATTGGGAAGGAATTGTTCCCTGGGAGGGTGGGGAGGCCCTGGCACAGGGTGCCCAGAGAAGCTGTGGCTGCCCCTGGATCCCTGGCAGTGCCCAAGGCCAGGTTGGACAGAGCCTGGAGCAACCTGGAACAGTGGAAGGTGTCCCTGCAAGGGATGGAATGAGATCATCTTTTTGGTCTCTTTGTGCCCAAACCATTCCATGATTCTGTGACTATGGAGGCTCTGGGACCCTGGTGCCACCTCCCTRATGGTTCCCATCTGTCCCACGCAGCCCCTTCTGCTGTGCTCTCCTTCATGYCTGAAAGCCAAATGAATCTGGATTTTCAGACCTGTCAACTTAGCACCTTTTCTGAGTGTTGAATCACTGCGTTCTCTTTTTGTTTACATCAGCAATATGAGAAATGGCAGCAGGTGCCTTTTGGTGGGGAAATGTGGGTTTGGCTGAAAATTTCAAAACTTTCAGAAGTGCAATCATGAAAACTCCCCTGTGAAAATATCTGGGGTTTTCTGGGTTTTAAAAGTGTAGTTTTTTTTTCAGTTGGATAAGAAACAAAGGTCTAATAAAGATTGTCAGCAACTCGCTTAATCTTGATGGGATTGCTGAGGAGTGTTAGASAAGTGTGTCTGGTATCTCTAAGCCCTGCTTGGCATCAGCGGATGGCCCCAAAATCAGTGGCATTTTCTCATAGCACACATCACTTTTCTCTTTTAGCCTGCTGAAAACTGATTGTTTCTCACAGATGTTCTCCAAGCACTCAGGGATCTGATGCAGGAGGAGCTGGATGAGGCTGGTCTGGATTGCAGCTCCATGCTCTTCACTCAGCACGAAGTGGCAAATTTGCTGGATACATCAGCTTTTCACTCCCCGGTCAGTCACCCCAAAGCTCCTCTACATTGAATCCGTGGATCTTCCATGTGAAATCCATGGAATTCTGTGATGGGAAAAGCTAAATTACCATTTTCTGTTTGTTCTASAGTTAGAAAGACAAGGCAGAACTATTCATTAATCATTTTGATTATAGAAAATTCTAGAAAAGAGCTCAAACTTCTTGTTTTTAATAAAAAAAWAATAYMTAYKGGATAATATGAGGAAGCAGTCTGGCAGTTATGCAGAAGGAAAAAATAGCCATAATTAATCAATTTTAACTAATTACATTTGGTTCACATAATGAAAGTTCACTGTAGCTTCAGCAATGATGGGGATCAGAGAGTGAAATTCTGTGGGGCAAAAAGAATCATCCTGGAGCTGAATTTTTAACGTGCCTTTTGATCTGTTGCACAAAAATGCTGACTCCTTTTTGAGGTGGTTTTGATTCGATGTGTGATGGGCCTGTCCCTCTCCTTGCAGACCTTTGACTCCCTCAACTGCAATGGCAATGAGGACCTGGAGCAGCTGCAGCTGGAGATGACGGATCTGAGGCACGAAGTCCGAAGGCTAAAGGTGGAGCCTCCCCTTGAAGCAGATTTCCTGGCTGGGGCTTTCTGCTGTAGCTCTAAATAGGGGTAATRGGGGTGGCCTGTCCCTCTACAGAAGTCCCCAGTTTGCATTCTGTTCATTCCTCGTCACACAGGAGCCTCTCACCCTCCACTCTCCTTAATTGCTTCTTTCTCACTCTCAGCCTCAAAGGAAAACTTCTYTGTACCCAAAGCATGCAAACCCTTCTCAGCAGGGAGGTAATATATTTAAAAAGCAGGTCTCATTCAGAATTCCAGTCTGTGATTAACAGAAGAACCACCTGTCCTCTCAGCCTCACCTGGCCGGCAGCACCATGGCTGTGTCCAGGTGGAATTCTGCAGATCACAGCCTTAACAGCCCTCTCTGTAGGGAGGAGAATGCACAAACTTCTGTAAAATAATATTCTGGTAGGCAGGGGCATTCTAGAGAATGTCCTATTGTTTGTTGCGTCTAATCGGGTGAAAATATTTCCCGTAGTCTCTCCTGAAAGAGGTGGAGAACAGCAAGAAGTCGATGGAGGATGAGCTTCAGAGACTGAACCAGGTTAGTGAAGGGATTTCTGGGGCACTTGGGATGGGTTTGGAAGCTGAGGGGAATGGGCTGTGCTCACCAGGAGCTGTGGGTACTTGCAGAAAGCACTGGGGTTCCTGTCAGAGAACCGGACGCTGCACAGCAAACTGCAGATGGCCGAGGTGGTGCAGAGACAGGCTCACAGCGCAGAGCAGGACTACGAGGAAGTGATCCACCTGCTGGAGGCTGAGATTGCAGAACTGAAGATGCAGCTGGCKGGGAAAAAAGCAAAACACGTCTCTGAAATAGAGGTAATGCAACCCCTCAGTCTGCAGAAAACTCACAACCCTCCAGAGCTGCCTTCTGTGGGTTCATAGGGTCACGGGATGCATTGGGTTGGGTTGGAAGGGGCCATAAAGCCCATCTCATTCCAACCCTCTGCTGTGGGCAGGGACACCTTCCACTAGACCAGGTTGTTCCAAGTCCTGTCCAACCTGGCCTTGGACACTTSCAGGGAAGAGGCAGCYACAACTAAGGCTCCCCTCCTTCATTTAARCAGGAGAAAATTAAATAGCACATAGATCATTTGTGTTGTGTGGCACCAAAKGGCCAGCATGGTCTCTGGGTCTGTGTCATAAATCACAGAATTTTCACAGTCCCTTCCCAAAGGACACTGCTTCTGTTTGTAGCAAATGTCACAAACTGTTGTTTCCAAAAGCCAAGGCTGGAGCATCACCACCACCTTTCTCCTCCTCCTGTGTCCCTGCCTCAGGAGGACATCCTGGAGCTGAAGAGGCAGCTGTCCCTGGCCGATAGCCAGCTACGAAAATCTGAAGTCTCACGGAAGCGCCTGGAGATCTGCAATAGGAAACTGCTCCTGTTTGTGCAGGTGAGGGGTGGAACTGCCCYGGTGCTGCAGCACCACCATAGCCCCTTACCTTCAGGGTGGTTTTGCAAGTCCAATCAACTTCCTGCTCCATAAGCAGGAGGGGATTTTTCCCTGTCTCACCATAAAAAGTCACGGTCTGCTGGTTAGGAGGAAGCRGGGAATGACCTCAGATCTCCTCATGCCCCGGGAGCAATGCAAACTCCGTGGTGCAGGTTTTGCTGGTGGTTCTGCTCCCCGTGGCTCCCCATGCTGAGGCTGCTTTGCTGTCAAAATCATCCATGTTTACCTTCCCTGGGTATAGCTGAGGGTTGCTAATCTATAAATAGGGATCTGAAGAGTGGGTTTGCTCTTCCAGGGCTTTTTTCCCCTCGGATTTCCTGCAAAATCTCACAGTTTAGTCTCTCAATTGGCCGTTTTTCCACTTCACTCCCTATATTGGGAATACCAGTATGTGWACTTGGTAAACTGGCTAGTATGGGAAGCACTACTCAGTGTGTCTGTTGTGGCTACCGGTGGCCTGTCCCAAGAACTCTTGAAATCAAGCAGAAACAGTGRAGCAGAAGGAAATGTAGATGCTGTGTCCTCTGTGGAAGAATTAAATGCCCCCAGAGCTTCAGCACTGTGTGCTGGAGCCTGTGCAGTTTGGGGTCAGACTTTGGAAATGGATCTCACTTGACCCCAGAGCCAAACATCACAGGATTTTGAGCACTGGAGCACAATATCTTCCTTTATTCTCCACCCCTCCATAGTGTTGGGGAAGTCATGAACCGTGCATGGTAAGGAGAGTTTACACGTGCTTGTCCAGCCAGGAACCAGGGGTTGCTGGCAGCAATGATCACTGAAGTGCAGCCTGCACAATTATTCCTTGGAAGAGGATTTTTRTGTTGCATTTCATGTATTTTAGCACCATATTAAAATGCAGAATTCAGATGTGTCTGTAGATTCATGAATGCTGACTGAGCTGCAAAAGGCCTTGAGATATTCGCTTCAAGGGCAATGAATAAGCAGAAGCTGATTACTGTCATATTAAATCTGATCATCAGGAAAAACCCATGGGGTTTGTTCTCAGGAATTATTCATTCCTACAAGTTTGAAATGTTTTTCTTTTTTCATCTTTTTTTTTCATGGCAGAATGTTCACAAGGTCCTGAGCACACATAGTCATTTACCAGATGAGAAAAGGTAGGAGATGGCTTCTGGGAATGGTGAACAGCAATACGAAATGTCCTTTTCTGACCTTTCTCAGGGGAAGGTGCTTCATATGTAACTTACCCAGAGTTTCTAAACATACCTTCACTTTGGAAGTGAAACCATGGGAGAAAGATGATCTGGAGGCTGCTGGGGGTTGGTGCTTAGGGGCTTTGGCCTCTGTTCAGGCTTTTTTTGGGAGTGAGTAGCTGAAACTCTGCTCTGRTTACGTTGCACTTGTCAGCAGAGACTCCAAGCAGGTTTTTCCAAAGCAGYAGAATTTTGATCCACCTGCTTTTCCAAACACAAACCAGGTTTTGGCTCCAGGACCACATCCTTTTTTATCAGCAGTTAGAGTAGATGGAGTGTAAACAAAGAGCTCACAAGACTCTCAGCTGCCTTAATGAAATAGAGCTCAGGCTTCTGAACTCCCCTCCAACCTTAACCTATCTCCCATCACTTGGGAATAAATGTATCATGACTCTATGTGTGTTTTTAACAGCTTAAATAATTGAAAAGTCACAATCCCATCGATTATGACCCTTAAAAAATCTGGGTTTTAGGAGGGATGGAAAACAGTTTTTAAGATTCCAAGTTGGTTATTTCTAATATAATGAGGGGGAAATTTTGACAAATTCTGAAGAATACTTTGTCATTTGTCTGTAACAAAGCAATGCAAGTTTGTCTAGCAGACACTTGAATGCTGAGGGATGGAGATGCAACCCCCCCAAACACACAGAATTTATGTAGCACATCGTCCCTGAGAGGCTGGCCAGGATTGTCAATGACTGTTCTCTGATAGAAGTATTGATGGCACTTTCCATATTTATAAGCGTCAACCATGAAACAGAAGAGGATAAAACAGATGCAGTCTCAGACACATCTCTTCCATCTTCAGATCTTGTTGACCTTTTGCTCTCAGAAGCTAGAGAACTGTTAGCGCCAATCCTCTCCAAGGACGGTAAGCACTAAATTAACCAGAGAAACCTGAACCCCAGCAAGTCTCAGGGATGTCTGTCAGTGTTGCTGACAGTTTCCAGCACCTTCCATATTTTTCCATACCAGTTAAGCCTCTTTGATTCTCTCATGCTCACTGAGATGTAATTGCYCGCCCTATATCCCTGTGACTCATCTTTGAATCTGCAATGCAGACTCACAGGGTATGGAGTCAAAGACTTGTGCCCAGGGCCAGAGAAAAGGTGTTTATCCAGGGAAAAAACCCTAACAGGCAGTAGGATGATTTCACAGAATCACAAAAATGCTGGTTGAAAGGGACTGCTGGAGATCAGATCTTCTGCTCCAGGCAGGACCATTCCAGTAGATGGGATCTGCAGTGGCTTTAGCCAGCTTGAGGTGTTCAGCCTCCCAGGATGGAGATCCCTCCCTGTTCTGTGACAAAGATCTTCCCAGCAGCCAGCCTGAGCTCCCTCAGGGGCAGYCTGTGGCCACTGCCCCCAGTTACACTGGCTGCCCTGCTTAGAACAGCTTGGCTCCAGCATCTTTTAATTGCCRCTGACATAGGAGTGGGTGCTGTGTAGTTGCCTCTCAGCCTCCTTTTTGCCAGGCTAAAMCAGCCCAGCTCCCTCAGCCCTCTCCAGCCTCTCCTTGCAGGCCTGGGGCTCCCCTTGCTGGACCCTGTCCAGTTTCCCAATAGTTCTAAACCCAGGATCCAAACTTTCCTTACACCATCCAGGTACAACTGAGTGATGCTGAGCAGGAGGGAACAGTCARCACCCCATTTCCTTGGAGTACAAACCAGCCATGCTCCCTTCTCTTCACATGCCTGTGAGAAAATCAAAGAACAGGCACCCAGCTCCATGGCAGTCTGGATTAACTTTTGCAGTCTGGGGCTCTGAGCTGCTYCATGAGCCATAAACATTCCTTGGCAGTGATTTTTGACCCTGTTTGTCTCTTCCCACACAAAATGAGTGTCTCATCTCCTCTGTGCCACATCCAGGTGAATGCACAGCCCCAAACAGGTGCCCAGTCCTTCCTCTTTGATCCTATTCACCAACCCAACATGGCCATGGCCCAGCACTGGCTTTGTCTCAAAGCACAAGACACAAAGGAAATAATTGCAGCCTTTCAGGAGCACCTCTGATTTATGAGCRTTGTCAGCATTTTCTGATTTCCTGCCCCATTTAAATGTGCATTATCATAATGCAGCAGTACTGCTTGCATTGGGCATGTTCTCTCCACTAACACTTGGCTCTGTGCTTCCATCTGCAGCTCTGCCATGGGACAGGGACCAGTGCCTGCCTGCTGAAGGAATCCCAAATTACAAGGAGTAGGTGTCAAAATTGCCATGGTCTGTAATTTGGACAGCACACATACTAAAAATTCCTGTTTGCTTTGTTAGAAATTTTTAACTGAAACTGTTGCTTCACAACTTTTGATCAGGCACTCTAGGAGAGGCCTCCAGATGGCCATGACAGAGAAATACTGTGAAATTCCTAGACAGCAAGAGACATCCCACCTTGCACAGTGTGAATTCCTCGATTTCTCTTTTGCTTTGTAAAATGCTGGCTTTCCTTCAGACCAGATGGGAATTTGTGGTTCTGTGGCTTGTCTAGCTGGCATTTTTATMGTGAGCTCTGTGCAAGGGAAAAAGCATCACTGAACGTGTTAATCTTCTGTGTTGTGGTATCGAGATGCTGCGAAGCCGCAGACAAGGAGAGCAGGATGACATGGCTTTGTTTGTACCTTGAATTCTTAAATTTTCCTGAAAATAAATGGTTTATATTTAATAGAGCCATTTCCTAAAGTTATCTGAAAGGGCACTTTGAGACCTAAATATCTCCTACCACTTTCTTAGCTTAACTCGACCTGAAGATCTGCCAGCACCATTTTTTGTTTAGGTACAAAGTACCCATTTGCAAACAATAATTTCAAGGTTATGAAAAACATTTTCAGACAAAACTGGCASCCACCACAGTCTAACCAGGCAAGAGCTGTAGCTTCCTCTCCTTTCCTAAATAAACACTGCTGTCTTCACATTACCCTCTGTGTCCTTCTCCCCCACCACATAAGCTGTATTTCTCCTTTTCAGCCACCTTCATCAGAAGACCACGTGGCCCCCTCCTGCAGGCCAGACCAAGAGTGACCAACCACAGCCACCAAGCCCAACGGAACTGCCTAAGAAGCCAACATAAATATCCCATGACTTGGTGGTGCTCTGAACCATGACCATCCATCGCACAGGAGATGGGAAAGACACCCCAGCAAAAGCAGACTGAGAAGAAGTTTTCTGACACAAGTCTAATTCTTCCTAATTCTCCAAGACTTTTTCAGTAACCTCCCCTGCGCGTCTACCTCTGAGTTATTGTACAAGGCTTTTTGCTCACGGTTTTGCAGCTTTATAGGAAAAGCATTCTCAAGAGGCTACAGAGGCCTGGATTTCAGTGGCAGCCTTTTAGAGYTCGTGTTCTGGGTAGTAAGAGGAATATGAACCTACCCGAGGGACTCAGGGGTCTCCAACAGATCCCTTTTGGTATTTCAGATGAAAAACCAAAGTCTATTTAGTGACTGTAATCAAAGYAGCTTAATCTGTAGTATCCTAGCTGTCTTGGGTTAGGTACTTCTCTTTTTATTCTTTTTGTATAGCTGATMCCAGCTGCAGTGCTTGAAGTGGGAAGCAGCAGCTCAGGCAGTTGCTGGCCAGAGTGCAGGACAGCCAGCGGGATGCTCCAGTCACAACGTGGCACTGGACACTGAGCCCTCCCAGGAACGTGGGGCGGGACATAGCGGCCATAGTGAACATAGCTCAGTAAAGGTCCACGGTGTCACTGGGAAATGAGATCCACATGATGCAAGACTRAGCCAGCAATGAATGGGGAGCAGATCTGAGATGGGCAGAGGTCTGGAAAAATAAAATGATAACACTCCTGGCAAGGAGTTTGCTCTCTGGGTTCTGACTGCAGTTGCTGCGTTCAGCATCTCACAGACAAAGACACAGCCTGAGACCATTTTTCTTCCCTCTCATTTTGTCAGCTCCTAGGGAGATGTGTTGAGAAATTGTAGGAAAATGGGATGCAATCTGGYTTTTACAAATAATTTGTTAAGATTACTTGAAATCTTTGTGGGGGTTCAAAGCATGTGGATCCTTTCTAGGCTAAATTAAAGGCTTAGGAAAAATGATGACCCTCACCAGTATCTCCTGCACTCRAGGTACCACTGCTAAACTGCTAAACCAGCAACTGTGTGGTGAAGCATATCATATAAATATCCAGTCTGAAATTTTGGGGAWACTTAATTTCTTAGCTTGGGGTAAATTAAATCTTGGGAATGCATACCTCAGAATATAAATTAAAGGGCTTCTTTYAAAAGGAAACATAATCCTTTGGACTTCTCACAAGGAATATTCCCARGAAGGAGAAAATATTCATCTTGGCAGACCCTATGATTAATAGCTCATTCTCCAGTGCTCTCTGCTGTGATGGAATGATAGTAAATCCTGGTGATACCTGTGGGTTTGGCCCCTTGGCTTTGTTCTCATCTCCTGTGTTACACAGACAGGTAAGAGGTGCACACAGCAAAATCCAGTCTCACCAGTCTGGTGTGCYCTGACTCTGGAAAAACACCTCCAGTTCCCCTGGGGTTACCCAGCAGATCCCAATCTGYTCCTGGCAGGGTCTCTTCAAAAGTGTTTGGCTGGGGGTGGCATCCTAGGGAGACRTCTCCAGCCACTGGTTGTCACACTTGTCAGGGAACAGCATGAACAGGATTTGGGGAAGGAGCAGGTCTTGGGCTGTGCTGTGTCATTTCAGACACCCAATGGCACTTGAGATACCTGGGAGAAAAGGGACGAGTTATGGGGAAAACACAACTATTTAGGYTGAATTTAATCAGCTGGAAAATCAACAATCTGTTGTGGAAATCAACAGAAGTTTTAAAACCAAATCAAAGAATCACAAAGTATTTTTCTCAAAATACAAGTATTGAACTCCACCTCCTCAAGCSCTGGAAAGGCACTGACCAGTACTGCCCCAGCAGGTACCAGTTACATGGTCTGAAAAAATAAATCCTTGATGCTGCTTCCATAGTCTGTATTATTCCATAAATCTGTATTTAAAAGTCGCAAGCAAGAAGATTTGTGTAAAAGCATCACAGTGAGTGAGGGCTTGGATGAGACAAACATTGTGCAGTTGGTGCTGCACCTGGCAAGGGGTGGAAACAGTGGGATGCTGCCCCAAGGCTGCTGTTTTGGGGTGTCCTGAGCTGTCTGTCACCAAAAGAGCTGGGAAGATCTTCACCTTTTAAAAAGCCCCAACAGCTCTGTGMTCTCAGCTTACTGGCAGCCCCTCTGGAAAGAAAGTCCTCTGTGTCCCCATCAGCCACTGGAGATCCTCATATGTCAAGCAAGGATCAAGCATTGCGTGCCTGCCAAAGCTTTCACATTTCTCACATTTCCCAATATGTGAATTTACCATGTTCCTCTTGCCTTTGCTTCTTCCCAGCACTTCCCTCTTTCTATTAATGCTGTTGTTCCTCATGCTACCTCTGCAGAGCAGTGCTCAGAGCTAAGCTCTGACAAGAGCTCTGCTCCTGGAGGTGATGCTGATTTTGGTGACCCAGAATAACAAACCTGTGTCAGGCTTTACTCCCAGGCAAGGGGAATTAGGCAGAAYTCAGCAAGTCACAGGGTGACATCTCACAGAACTACCGAGAGGCAAAAGGGGAAATGCATGAAGGAACAAACAGCACAGAAAGAGAAGTTATTTAAATAGGATGTTCTTTATTCACACAAGGCACTCTACAAGAGACCTGAATTCTRGATTAATTTGCAATATTTTAGCTTGCTTGTAAGGATGTGGAGATTGCTGTCACAATGTGCTCTGTTTGTCTCAGTATCTATCTCAGAGGGTCCCAGCTTGACTGCACAGAAATTAGCAGTATTTGAGATAAAAAATAAGACCTCAATAATATCAGATATTCCTGAGTGGCCTTCCAGATCCTGAAGGGATCCTATAGGAAAGATGGAGAGGCATTTTTTTACAAGAGCTTGTAAAAGACAGGACAAAGGACAAAGGCTTCAAACTGACAGAGTAGGTTTAGATTAGATATCAGGAAAAACTTCCCTGTGAGAGTGGGGAGGTCCTGGCACAGGGTACCCAAAGAAGCTGAAGCTGACCCATGCCTGGAAATGTCCAAGGCCAGGTAGGAYATGGCTTGGAGGAACCTGGGACAGTGGAAGGTGACCTTGCCCATGGCAGGGGGTGGAATGAGATGAGCTTTAAGGTCCTTTCCAACCCAAACCATTCTGTGTTTCCATGATTCTATGATAGGATGGRAAATGGCAAATATTTTATGAGCCAAAATGCAGAGAGAACCCCATAAACCGAGCATGTCAACACACTACACGTGATAAACTCAAAAATATGCATTTAAAGAGCATCAGCAGGATCAATTGCTGAGCTGGAAGCTTTGGGGGTTAAACATCACTGATGTTTATTTTGTGTTTCTCTTACGCAAAGCAGAAATCCAGTTCTTAGCTGCTAGATGGGCCATAGGGTGGGAGACCCCTCTGCCTCACAAAATAAACCAAACCAAGATTTGAGCATCTAACAGCTGCAGAAGCAAGGAAGGCGAGGCAGGGAGCAACCTTGGCATTATCTTGGAAGGTGAATGTAGCAGAGCCACTAGCACACTGTTTATCTGCAGACCCATGGGAAAAGGAACCCAATCTGAATCTGCTGGACTCGAGCTCATTAGGGCTCCAGTTTCATCCCTGCCAGTGATCKCTGTCATCTCACTATGACCTTGGGCAGCACATTTCATCTCAGTTTTGCAACAGAAAGCAAACAGAACTGAGAGAGGCACAAGCAAGGCAAAGCCCTGGGGATCCATAGGATGTGGGGGCAACCTCCCAGCACAAGAGGAGCTGTGAGTGGTGTGGTAACAGGTATTGCTAATCYGTGTTCTCAGTGAACAAAGCCTCAGTATTTCAACTTTTCCAGACTCTCAGGACAGCAGATCCAGCTTTTGCTCACCAGCTTCACCAGCTTTGGTGAAGCAGAGTAAGGTTAAGTGCTTCAAAGGTGTGTTTGGAGAGCTGTGGAAGCAGCAGAGGTGAACTCCAGCCCAGAACAGTGCAGTGGAGTAGGCTGGTGTGTCTATCCCAACGCTGGAGGCTGTGTAGAGCCTCTTCTTTCTCCCAGCTCCACACACTGACACCTGGACTGAAGGCCAGGTTTGGAGAGTGGAATACACCTCCACACTGCTTTTAATGTGGTTCTGAAAAGCAGGTGAACTTTGCTGCTGAATTTTAAAAGCAAGTYTTTRATGTTTAAACAGTGCTGATTTTCTSAGGGTTATTGAACCCATGTGGAAGAGGGCTGGGCAGCACCTCCTCAGTGTGACACTGCAGAAAGAGCTGGGCTGGCTGTGTCAAGCTGCCTTTCCTTTTCTGCTTTTCCTTGGAGTCCCTGGGAGATCCTTCTCCTGATCAAGGCTGAGTCTACCTCAGCACTTCCATGACAGATCACAGAATTTTCTGGCCTCGCCAACTGCAGCTTTGCCACAAACCTCCTTTGCAGCTTCTTTCAGCTGCTTTCAAAATAAGGTAAATGGGAATAACAATACCATGAACAATCCCCACAAGCTTTTTTCTGCACATGACGCACCAATGCACTTGAATTTCTGTTGAGCTTTTTAAATTTATGCCAATAGATGAGGCATAAAAGTTCAGATAAAAGCAGAGTTTGCAGTGAAAAGCCTTTGTAATGGGGGAAGTGGAGGCTGAATGATATCTCCCAACCACATGTCCTTCCTGGAAGACATTCTTCTTTCTGACTGCAGGACTGGCAGCAGTTCCTGGGCTGGGCTGCTGAGGAGTGAGAACTTCTCTCTGCGCAGCTCCCATGAGAGAGACGGAGGGTCAGTGCCAGCCCTTGAGGCAAACACCCAGTGCGATAGGTGGAAGGACAGTCAAGGCCCTTGGGAATGCCCTGGAGAGYTGGCCCTGTGTCAGGGGAAAAGGAGCCCACTGACACTGGAAAATGCCAAGGTGACCTTCRGGCAGCAGGAGAAAACAGATGTTGGAAAATGGGAATTACAGTCAGGGCTGCACAGCAGAGAAAAGGATGGGATGGGACTCACCAAAATCTCATCCAGCTTTTATGAYCTGAACAAAAGGAAAACCATCACAATTAGGGCACAAAGGAGTTACAGGCTGGTGTAAATTCTGTAGCAAGAAGATGGAAACAGTGCTTTAGTTTTCCTTCTGTTTTCTCT